CAAACATGACCCCATCAGAGGCTGGTGAATAAGTTGGGGAAACAAGCAGGAGTAACTGGTAAGGTGCTCCAGAGGATAAGGGAGTACCTAAGCAATAGGAAGCAGAGAGCTACAGTGAGCAGTGAGACCTAAGAGTGACGTGAAGTCACCAGTGGAGTCCCACAGGGTTTTGTACATGGACCTATCCTGTTACTGATATGTGTAAATAATCTCTCAGAGGGAATGGACTCAATCCTCTCAATGTTTGCTGACGACGCCAAAATTATGAGAAGGATTAAGACAGAGGACAGCTTGAGGCTTCACGTTGACCTGGACAAACTGAAGAAATGGTTCAACTTATGGTTCTTAGAGTTTAACCATAGCAAATGTAAAGTAGTGAAGATAGGTATATGGATCAGGAGGCCAGATCCAATTAGGTACCATTTAGAAGATAAAAAAAATTCAAGAATCAGAGAGAAAGACATGGGGTTGACATCACTTCAGACCTGTCCCCTGAAGCCCATACCAAGAGGATAACATCAGCGGCATATGCCAGGCGGGCTAACATAAAAACGGCCTTTAGAGACTTGTGCAAGGAATCATTCAGAACTTTGTAAACTACGTATGTCAGACCAATCCTGGAGTATGAATCTTCACCAATCTGAGTACCCGAGCTGAGGGGTATGAGCTACGAGGAGAAACTACGGGAACTAAACCTCACGTCGCTGGAAGATAGAGGAGTTAGGAGGAAAACGTGTTCACCACAAATAAAGACCCGAAGCTCGACCCCCGCAAGCACATGTAGGTGAGTAGCCACCCAGGCAGCCACCCAGGCCGCCACCCAGGCAGCCAACCAGGCCGCCACCCAGGCCGCCACCCAGGCCGCCACCCAGGCCGCCACCCAGGCCGCCACCCAGGCCGCCACCCAGGCCGCCACCCAGGCCGCCACCCAGGCCGCCACCCAGGCCGCCACCCAGACAGCCACCCAGGCCGCCACCCAGACAGCCACCCAGGCCGCCACCCAGGCCGCCACCCAGGCCGCCACCCAGGCCGCCACCCAGGCAGCCACCCAGGCCGCCACCCAGGCCGCCACCCAGGTAACCACCCAGGTAACCACTGAAGTAACAAGACCCAAGTGTTAACAGCGACAATGGTTCCTCCCTCACAACACGCCACTTGTACAACGATACATTTTACATAATGAGAAGTACACACAATAATTACCTTTATTACCTTGCTCAAATGGCGATAATAACTCGTAATTATCTATGATAATTGTGAATTATTGGGTCTGGTGTCCTGCCAAGTGGATTATTCTCTCTCTCTCTCATGTCTTTCTTCTCTCTCTCTCTCTCTCTCTCTCTCTCTCTCTCTCTCTCTCTCTCTCTCTCTCTCTCTCTCTCTCTCTCTCTCTCTCTCTCTCTCTCTCTCTCGCGCCCTGCTACGAGAAAGTCCTGTTATGATGATATTTTCTGGTAGTGGTGTACTTGGCTGTTGATGTAAAGGTGCGGGTTCCACCCCAGGCGCCAGGCACTAGGCTGTGGCCGTGGTGGCACCGTGGTGGCACTATGATGGCACCGGGGACAGGGCAGAGTGCCACCTTGCCACGCTGGCAACCGGTGCCCCTACACATCCAAGGCGCTGATAAGTTTAGAATAGTTCCCCCATCGCGAAGAGAGAATGTTGCTGGTTTATGATGTTTTCTTTCATTAAGTGACCTAAACAAAGACTGACCCGAAGGGAAGAAAATATTTGTAAAGTATAGAGCCTAATGTGGGGGAAAAAAATAATTCTCAAGTTTGTTGGGACGACATCTCAGGGGTACAGACACGCGGTGAATGACCTCCTGGAGTTCAACAGGAGATGAGACAAGTTCCTCTGCTATATGTCTAGGCGCTCCACGCTCTTTTTTTTTTTTTTTTAGGAGATGAGTTTCAACCCTCATGGAGCGTATTGGTATGGTGGCTGAGGAGCCAGTGTGTTGCCCCGACGGCCAGCAGGGTACTGTCAACCCCCACACCCCCCTCACACACACACACACACACACACACACACACACACACACACACACACACACACACACACACACACACACACACACACACACACACACACACACAATCCCTCGGAGGTGATTAGCGCGGAAAGTAGTTAGTTACCTGATCACAGACGGAGGATGACTCAAGGGGTTCATTAGGTACGGTAGGACGCCAGTTGAACAGTGAACACCACCAAGAACATCCGCCTGAACACCGGCAAGACACAAGTTAGAACACGGGATAATTACCGACAAGTCACCGACTGAACACCGGCAGTTCATGAGTTGAACACAAACAGAACACGCCTCGAACACCCCTCCCCCCCACGAGCTGGACATCAGCTGAAAACCGCTTAAATACCGGCAGAACAACGGCTAAAAAGACACCGACGGAACACCAAATGAACAGCAGTTCAACACCGCTTGAAAATCTCCCGAATTCACGAGCTCGCAACCAGAAGAGTAATTAACAGGAGGCGTCGAGGCCACGAGGAAGGAAATCGCGCCAAAAAAGACCGCCTTTTCTCCAGGAAATATTTTGGCGTTCCATAACTTCATTACGGGTAAAAGTATTCGGAAAATATCTTGAAAAAAAAATCCCAGAATTAGCGAGAAAGCAGATTGAGAGGAAGAGAAGGGTGGTGGTAGTAGCGGAGGAGAGGGGGGTGGGGGGAGGGAGGAGGGAGATATGATGGAAGGGGAGGTGAGAGAGAGAGAGAGAGAGAAGGGAGAGAGAGGGGAGTAAGGGAGAGAGAGAGAGTATGGAAGAAGAGGGTTGGGAAAACATTTTAATTAGTGTCTGAGTTGTTGACCTCCGTTCGCAGTAGTCAATCCGTCAGCCACAAACATTGCAAACAAAAACACCTCAAATAAAACAAGGTCATTCACGAGCAGCACAAGCCCTAACAACTTACACAAACAACCCAAACATGCCAAGTACAGAGACCCAACGCTCTGGTACAGTCACCCTAGACTCAAACACCTCACACACACACACACACACACACACACACACACACACACACACACACACACACACACACACACACACACACACACACACACACACACACAGACGCTCCCAACACCAGCCACACGCCAAACATACACACACCCCTAAACACAGTGTTTCAGACACAAACGCAAGCAACCCAAGCACAAACACTCCAATCAAAAACAGGAAGATCTACTTAATTTTTATGGGTTTTGGAGGGGTTGGGATTTTATGTGCGTGTTAATAGGGAGGGTTGGGTGTGTGTGTATGTGTGTGTGTGTGTGTGTGTGTGTGTGTGTATGTATGTGTGTGTGTGTGTGTGTGTGTGTTCTGTGTGGTTGTACTTACCTACTTCAGCTCATCTAGGTGTGCTTTTGTGGGTGGGGGCTTCAGCTCTTTGGTCACTCTCAATTTAACCATATGCCACTGTTGCTGTTCTTTGTGTCATATGCCACGGTCACTGATGGTCGAGTGGATTAAGGCACCCTGACACCAGTTGCAATGTTCTCCTGGAGGTCCGGGTTCGAGTCACTTCTGGGGTGTGGAGTTTTCATTGCATATATATATATATATATATATATATATATATATATATATATATATATATATATATATATATATATATATATATATATATATCATGTAATTTGAATATCAGTACTGATCCGAATAATTTAGATCCATTTTTGATTGATCAGCTAAAGGGCGATTTGAGGGAGACCATTGATACCTATTTATCTCGAGTTGTTGTTGTTGTTGTTTTAGATTTAGCTACTCAGAACGAAGTGTCCATGTAGCACGGGCTATGGTGAGCCCGTAATTCAGTTCGGATATTCGCGATAACCTTGTTACTGTGACATTTGGGTCGAAGTATTAAATGGAGGTGGGGTTTCCTCCTTTTCCCCTATTTCTTTTTTTTTTTTTTTTCTTCTGTTTTAGTACACTGGTTTTAGTCTTGGTTTAATAACATTATCTTGGTGGCGGATGTAGATGCATAATGTTGACTAGTGAGGCCCATTCTTCAACTGCTTTTCTAATAATTTTACTCACTGTGGAATTTGCATCGAGTACAGCTGCTGTCGTTGGATTAATGTTGAGTTTGATGCGCAGTGGTTCAGTAGCTTCATATTCCAGTAAGTAGTGCAATAGTGGCGCCTCTGCTTCTGTTCCATAGATATGACACACTTTAACTATTGCGTTTATTGCCTCCCAGCAGCACTTGTAAGCAAGTCTGAGTCTGTGTATGGCTACTGCAATGTCTCGGGATATTTTGACCAGACCACACACTAGAAGTTGAAGGGACGACGACGTTTCGGTCCGTCCTGGACCATTCTCAAGTCGATTGTCAAGTCACAATCGACTTGAGAATGGTCCAGGACGGACCGAAACGTCGTCGTCCCTTCAACTTCTAGTGTGTGGTCTGGTCAACATACTTCAGCCACGTTATTGTGACTCATCGCCTGTCTCTGGATATTCTTTGTCAGGCTTGAAAGACTAGTACCCAGTTGCTTGTTCGTACCATATCGCAGTGGATCAGGGGATCTTCCTTCTGCTACTTTGGCTCTGTGGCGACTTTTGATAGTTGGGAGTATTTTCTTCTTGATTTGCTCCTTAATCTGTGAAAAACTTGGAGGTATTTTGACCTGTACAACAGGTAGAGCGGTGGCAGTTTTTGCTAGTGAGTCTGCCTTTTCATTACCATCTATGGCAATGTGACTATGCAATTAAGGGTGAATGAGAGCCCTAGATTGTGTGCTTCTTTTCCTATATGTTGGATTTCGGTGATGAGCTGTGCTGACTGGATAACAATATCTGGAGCGAAGATTTAGACTCGGTGTGAACGATGACATCATGTAAACTATTCTCAATTGTATAATTTATGTCCTTCAGGGCATATAATTCTGTTTGCAATGTTGAGCACCCACTATTCATGCTCCAGTAAGCTTCATGGTTGGTAGTGTAAACTGCTGACCCAGCAGAACCTTTTTCTTGATCAACTGATCCGTCTGTGAAGATGTGAGTCGTTGTCGGTCTTGAGATGGTTTCCATTTGTTGTTCTGTGACTGCTTTGAGCCTCTGCGAGTTTATCTCGAGAAATAGTACATTATTAATATTCCTTTATCTCATTAAAGACACTGTTTCTCACCTCACCTCATTCCTGCCTATATACCCACATCACTGAATTGTAAATCCATCCATCTGAAGATGTATTATTAAATACTAAACTACTTAAGGAAATTCCTGCCTTAATATATATATATATATATATATATATATATATATATATATATATATATATATATATATATATATATATAATTATATATATATTCACCTCTCCTTTGCTATTACTCTCTTCTTTTTCTCACTCAACCTCTCTCACTCTCCTCAATTTTCCTCCATCTTTTATGTCCATCATCGCTATCTTTCCCTCATCTCACCGTTTTCCTTCCTATCTCTCCTTCCTGCTCATTCTTTCCCTTTATCAATCTCCCTCCCTCTCCCTCCCCCCTCCCCCCCTCCCCCCCTCCCCTCCCTCCCTCCATCCCTCATCCCCCCCCCCCCCCCCCCCCCTCCTCAGCACCACTTTAGTTGCTGTCAAAATGGTAAAATAACTTGGCCCGGCCTGCGTCGCCACACCAATATTACTTCCCAGTATGAACGGCCAAGGTAAAGCTAATGTCATGTTCGTCCTGTGATAGGCAGGAAGAGGGGCACAGACTCATACAGGCGGAGGGAAATAGGGGAAGGAGCAAGTAAGGGAAGATTGGAGGGAGAGGATGTGGAATGGTGAATGGGACGGAAGAGGAGGAATGGGCAGGGAATAAGGGAAGAGAACTATCAGGGGGGAAGGGGAGGGGAAGCGTCAAGCCATTACGACTATATAGCACTGGAAAGGGGGGTCGGGATAAGAAATTTGGGATGGGACGGAGGGGAAGGAATGGTGCCCAACCACTTGGATGGTCGGGGATTGAACGCCGACCTGCATGAACAAACGGACAGCTGACAAACGTGAGGAAAGTCAGAATAGTTTTCTCCACGCCCGTGAGACCAATGCTGGTATATGTAGCGCCAGCACACAGC